TGGTATAAAATCCGTGTGCAAAACACAAGTGATAATTTGAACTCTCTTCATATGATACTCAACTTGAAATAAATGAGAATTTATTTGACGCATAAAGCAAGTATAAAAGTGCATGGATTATTTGTTGTCAAACTACGGGTAAGGAAATTTTATATATAATTTTTAAAAAGTTGTCTCAAAAGATATGACTCTTGAAAAAGACGCACTTACTGAATTTAGTCTCTATTTTAACAAACACACCTATTGAAAAATAACAATTGTAAAAGTCACGATCTTATTTCTGAAAATACACACCTTTTTAGTAAATATATTCTAGAAACATTCCGTAACATGTCAGACATGGATAAATAGAATATTGCATCATGCTAATATGGTTTCTAGTGGTGTCAATGGACCGAGTCGAGCCGGTACGGCCCTTAAAGCCACGAGCTCGGCACGGCTCGTGGAGAAACGAGCCACAAGCTCACGAGGCGAGCCGAGCTCGTGGACTCGTGAGCCACAAGCTCGACTCATGAGCTCGTTAAATTTTTTTTTTTTTTAGCTTTTCTTAGATTTTTTTTTTATTTTTTTAATGGTTTTTCATGAGCCCATGAGCTCGGCTCGTGGGCGGGTGCCCACGAGTGCTCGTCTCCTTAACGAGTCGAGCTCGGGCTCGGCTCGTGCTCGGGCTCTTTTTTGACGAGCCCAGGCGACTCGTGGGTCACTACAGTATGTGCCGAGCGGTCGAGCCGACGAGCCGCTCGACTCGATTGCCATCACTAATGATTTCTAACAATTTCCATGTATTAAGAGTTTCAGTTATGACCTTGTTTTTTGAGAAACTACAATAATCTATTTAAGGAGTAGAACAAGTTCAGCCTTTGATTTTCGTTGAAATTTGTTTTAGAAAATTAGATAATTTACCCTACAAAATTTTTGGGGTCAATGGAAACTTTGGTTTCGACAATAATATGCATGCCGATGGAGAAGGACACCTAAAATAAAAAAATATAGTTTGACGACTAAATATTTTTCACTGTTCTCAAAAGCTAATTAATATTTAAATTACTATGGACAAAGTCTTGACAAAAATATATTTTCCTAGTTTTCATCTAGCGAAATTTTCAATGGAGATGTAGGAATTGTATTTTCAATTGATATGATAAATTGTATTTTTGTCTATTTTCTTTCTCATCTTTTAATAAAATTAATTATAAAGTCTAAAACGGTTGATAATGATGTTTTTTAAAGTAATGTGTTTTGGGGAAAAAATAAAAAAACTTATTCAATTTTATAATATTTATTCAAACGAATCATAAAGAAGCTAATAAACAACACAATCGTTCATTATAATTTTCGAGTTCACATGAATACAACAGATTATTATAGCAAATAATACGACACAATTAGGAAGCTATAGTGCTGCTTATCGATTCAAATGTATCAGTACCATTTCTAAAAAATTAATACGAGTACATAATATGTGAAAAGAATCATCAAATTAAATATGGTAGAAGAAACATATTGAGAATTACCAAGTGCTCTTCAAGAAATTACTACGTACTAGAACTTGCTCTCTCATATTATAAGTGTCATGCAAGTCTTTACCTGTTCCATCCCTCAATGTCTCTTATTTCTCTCTCTCCCTCTCCATACACAGTCACAATGGCTCCTAGATCTAAAGAAACCCAGCAGGGAGAAGAACTCAAGAAGGAAGGGGAAACCAAAGAGAAGAAAGAAGAGGAAATTTCTGATCTTCGAAAGGAGGCTTGCCAACTAGCAAATTATTACTTTGTCTTTCAAGGAGTAATCTTTCCCCCAATTTATAGTTCCCCAACAAAGCACAAATGTCAATATCGTTGGGTTCCATTAACCCTCTCCTTATTTGCAGGCATTCTAAATTTTTCTGCTTTGTTGGCAATCGCTGTGAAATACAAAAAAATATTGGATGAAAAAGATGTAAAACTGTTAAATGGTAAAACATCTACCAGCAGATATGCAAGTATGTGGCGTTCTTTTTACGTGTGGGGTTGCATGTTTCTCTTCTTTGGATTTTTTATTATAACACTTATTGGAAGCAAGAAAATGATCCCAAGATTTGTGTCAAGATATGTGAGCAAAAAAATTGTATAATGGTTTGCCAATAGAACTATCTGCACCGTTGTCTTGGATCCTCCTGTTATGTCATTGATGTTCTTCGTTACTAAATATATTTGATTATTCCGTACACCTTTAATATGATATTTTATCGATTGTTGCTCGTTTTAAGGTTGCGGCCATTTTTATCTTTTTCATAGATCTATAGTTGTAAATTACTCCAGTGATAGAGACAAATATCAGATATGACCAAATTGTGGACCTAGACAAATCACTGGGTTACCAAGTCACGAAACAAAATATAGTTAAGGCAAATTTTCATTGGAATATTTAGTTTAAATTTTCACTAGTAGATGCATGCGCACATGCACTTCGATGCAGAAATAAACATACCTAAGTGTATGTGTCGCACCATTGACGAAGATATAAATTTGATCTGCTTGTAAGGGTTTGTTCTTGACAAAACGAAATGAATAAGTTTTCCACTTTTTACTATCTTAAACTTTTGGATTAGGCAGTTGAATATGATATGAGCAAGCTAAGGTCTTGAGTTCAAATTTGGTCACCTATTAATAAAATTTTTTTTCATGAAAATAATAATTAATAAATTTGGCCTACTCATGAAATTATGTTTTGAAATATAAAATTAGTGAATAAATTAGTCATATCTCTAATTACTTAAACTTTTAAATAAAATGCTTCAATATTTGTAAAATCTGTGTACATGTCACACCATTGATGAATAAAAATTAATTAATTAATAAATTAACCTGCACATAAGGAGCGTGTTGATGACAAAACTATATTTAAGTAAAAAAAATCAAATAAAATCAACAGGCAGGCTGGAAAAAACACTATAAGAATGTGTCCAAAGAACAAAAGTACAGAATTATATGTATAAAATCATCTAATAATGTATTGCCGATAAAGGAAAAGAACATGTAGAAAAACTCCATCGATAATCATTATAACTGCACCATTAAGAAACTAACAATAATTAAAGCAACCACAAACAGGAATATATATTTGAAGCTGCCCATGGTTGGAGAGTCAGGATGGTGACAGTTTTCTATGTTCTCCATATGTTGTCCTGAAAGCCATGGAACTCTTTCCTCTGCTGTCTCACCCGTGGTTGTCTCTCTGTATTAATATCGCTACTAACTTGAGCAAAATGAATTTAAACATTTCTTTAATAATAAACGGGTATAAAACAATGTCAAACCCCAACTACACTATTGGGGAGAAGCCAGAAAACTCCTATTCCATTAATATTTGAAGGAATTTCAGATTAGGTTCTTGTGCGTGTATTTCAACAAGTATGATTCAAAATTACGGGGAATAAGGCTTGCAATCCAATTGCAGCATTTCAAATATCAAATATATATTATATGACACACTAAAATAAAATCAGTGATTTAGATGAAAGTATTTTTAAAATCAGTTTTCAATCAATTTATTTGATCCATAAAACTACGCAGAGCGTATTATTAGTGTGAAAAATTGAATGAATGAGTGGTACTCTTGACTCTTGAGAACTGGATGAGAAAATTGGATTATTTTATGGAGAACTGAATGATTGCCTATTATTTCATTATTTTGTATTCCTTAGGTTTATTTTCTCAAAGAAAAAATTATTTTGAGTCAAAATATCCAAAATTATTTGAACCAAAAGTGTCAAAATATCCTTCAAAATTCTTCTCTTTTCTAATTCTTTTACTATTGTTAAATTCGTGTTTAGATTCTAAATATGAACTAAGATGGTGTATATTATTTGAAGTAAAATGTTCACCATTTATGTTAAGCCTAGGTACTTTTGCCATATCTTATAAAGACAGCATTGATCCTACAAGTACAGCTACTTTTGCTTAATAAACACCCACGCTCGTATAGAATATCTAGCATCGGGGTCCTTTTTTCCCACAAATAATGAAATAAAATTTCTAGATGTACTAAGAATTATTCTTTAAACTCATTCTCATCTCTTGTAGTTTGGACAACCAATTTGTTAGGTTTTGCATCCATAAAATTTTTCCAACGATGCCATTCTTAATCAGATATATTTTAACTCTGTGTATCCTTTATGTCAAACTGATCGTTCCACTCCATCTAATCCCAAACTCGGTTACTCCGTTCACTTCTCTTAGTCAAACTAACACGAAAGTCCTATGTGGCCAGGTTAGACTACGACAATGCATTGTTACAATTCCCCAACGATAAGAAAATAATAAATTGGTGTGTTAGAAAGCTAGGCTAGAGAGTCCCACTAAATTCAGACCTTGATGCAATTAATCACGTCGTATGGTGCTGTGCCAACAAATTACACATATCACGTCCTTTACCTGCCCTAGGATATTCACAATATCAAGTCATAATCATAATCATACATCATTTGTGATTGTGTTACATGCATAACCAAAAGATCGTATTCTCTTTAAACAAGTAAAATCTATGATCATTATCCACAAATAAAAGAAAATGCATAATGGGTACCTCTTTGATGGATTCACTACTCTGTTCTTCATAGAATCCTGATTTATGTTGATCCTAGCTTTAGGCTCCCTGAAGTTGATCACAAACACCAAAAAACACATATAAAACAAAAAGGATTAAAATTCTGAGGTTTTCCGAACTTACGTTCCTGGTTCAAGCGGGTTATTGAATTTCTCTGAATGCAGATCATTAATTGCCCCGCAAGTGCTTCTATTTGTCAACCCAAGAATTTTTCTAGACCAGTTTGACGACTCCCAAAACATTTTAGCCAAGAAAAAAATTGCCACGCATGAAAATCACAAAGAAAAGGAATTAAAGGAAAAATCAAGTGAATGCTTCAAAGCTTTTAAATTTCTTCTTGTTAGTGTTGGCACTCTCATAGTTTTCACTGTGTCAGTTTAATCGAATCGAATAAATTACTGCGTTCTATTAAATTTCAGAAAACAAGCAAGGCGCACACCAGAGTATTTGGTCATTGACAAACAAAATATGGAGAAATCTAACATATAGCATGTACCTCCTTTGTGGCATAGTTCTTGCATATTCCGGAGGTGCCTCCGCAATCACTTCAGAACTTCTACTCTTCCATGTCCTATCCCTCCCTGCGAATTTGCCAATACCCAATCTGCAAAGCAAAAAAGCTCTCAAGAAAATTAGAAGAGACAGAAATAATGGTCTTCAAATAATGCCTGAAAATTATAAGTATTAATATTTATTTATAATTGTTGCTAGCATAGGCATACATACACAGATGTTTCAGTAGTAACAGATCTCATATAGAAAAGTGAAAAATTGGTTTCTTAAGGGGGGGAATGATACTTATGTTGGTGGAACAAGACTAGGAAATTCTTGATAGGTTCAAGCTTTGACATATATAGAGTAAAATACTCGTAAAATTTATCCCTAATGGGAGGATTTTTTCAAATGGCTATAGTATGGATTTGTACCCTAATGGGAGGATTTTTTTCAAATGGCTATAGTATGGATTTGTCCTTGATTGAGGGCAAGATTTTAGTGAGATCTTATCTGTCCTTGATGTTTGGCACTAAGATGGAGTGAACTCGACTTTGATGAGTGACAAGTGCAGTTTTACATTTACTTATGTCATCAAAAGTGGAAGTTCGAGAGTACTTTTACGCAATCCATACTTAATTTAGTTTGTATATTGCTTGTATTAGGAGAAATCTCGATGATGAAATGACTTTTGGAGCAAATGAGTGAAAAATAGATGAAAATGACTTAAATCGTGCAAATTATGGAAGGTGGGGATCAAAGTGTCAAGACTGGGAAGATGAAAAACTTGCAATGAAATTTAGGAAGGACTTGAGCTATGCAAAAGAGGGAAGACGACGACCAAATTGAAGACAAGAGAAAGTGTGAAACTTGCGATCGCAAAGTTACACCTGTTCAATTGCATGGCAAGGTGATGTAGAAAAGATAAAGAAATAGAAGACATGCAATTGCATGGTGTTATCGAGCAGCAAAGATTTTGTCTCCTTTTCTGCTTTGAATTCTTCATTGAAAGCAATTGGCACACATTTCTAACCTAATTCAATAAGTCAATTTCAAGATGATTCATCTTGTAACTTGGAAAAGAGAGCTACGTTGAAAAAAACACACAAAACATGACGTTCTTTCAAGATTTGTAGCTCAAAATTGAAGATTTCAAGCAAGTAGCTTTAGATTTCTTGAAGAATCCAGTGAAGGAATTCGAAGGAGACAACAATTCATCTTCAACCTTCTCTTTGAAATTTGATTTTCCGAGTGATGAATATTCAACTAATATGTGTTTTTGTATTATTAGCATGTCAGGATAAACTCAATGTATCTAGAATGATGATGTAAACCTTTTATTTGATGTTTTAATTCAAGACTTCTTTTAATAATCAATTTGTGTTCGATTTATTGATGCCATGGTTTCAATCTCCGGTTAAATGAATGATCAACTTTTAAGCGTGTTTGGAGGTTGAGACACTCCAATCTATGGAGAATAATAGCATGTCACTTCCATTGATAAAACACAACCAAACTTGAACAAAAAATGAATGAGTATTGTGAATTCAACCTTAGAATAAATATCATGGGTGAGAGATTGAGGAACAGGTTTGGGCTACATCTTACAAATGAGAAAGAATATACTGCACAACTGAGGATCGAGATATGACCAACTTAAAATTTTATGGTGATTGAGTTGACTATGCACACACACGTTGATCAAGCATTAGATAATTGAGAATTGATTTTGATAGCAAAATTTAGAAACATTTTATTAGTTATGCAAGCAATTTTAGAACTTGAGAAAAACATCAAGTTATCTAACGAATTTGTTTCTATTGTTATTTGCTTGATTAAATAGACAATTTTATTCGAGGACGAATAAATATTCAAATTTGGGAGGAATTGATAATTGTAATTTTACACTTATATCAAAAATGGACGTCATGAGTGCTTTTATGAAATCGACACTTAATTTATTTATTTTTTGGAATATATATTGCTTGTTTTAGGATAAACTCGATGTCAGTAGGATTTTTGGACAAAATGAGCAATTAATAGATGAAAAATACTTAAATCGTACAAATTATGGAAGATGGTGATCAAAGTGTCAAGATTAAGAAGATGAAGGACTTGCAACACAATTTAGGAAGGGCTTGATCTGTGCAAAAGAGGGAGGACGAGGACCAAATTGAAAACAAGAGAAAAGTGTGAACCTTGTGATTGCAAGGTTGCACCTGTGCAATTGTAAGACAAGTAGATGCAAAACCTGCAGAGGCATAGATGCTACCATGCGATCACAGGTCCTTCTACCATGCGATCGCTTGATGTTATCGAGCAATTAAGATTTTGTTTCCTTTTCTAATTTGAACTCTTCATGAAAAGCAATTGGCATGCGATTTTGACCTACTTTAATAGACCAATTTCAGGATAATTCATCTTGTAACTTGTAGAAGAGGGCTAGGGAGGGAAAATTGGACAAAATTCTTTGTTCTTTGTGTCTCAAAATTAAATATTTCTAGTAAGAATTGATATATCTTGAAGACGTCACTACAGGAATTCAAAGGAGACAACTCATCTTTAACCTTCTTTTTGCAATATAATTTTCTGGCTGATGAATATTCAGTTAATATTCAGCCATTTACCTTCTCGTATTAGAGGTGATCGTGTGTGGATGGCCATTAGGTTTGGAATTATGGGTTACTGTGTGAGCTATACATTACATATTGCTACACGTAGGATATTATTTGGTAATTCGTGCCTTCAATTCTTTGCGAATTTGATATACTGAATTTTTTGCGAGTCTAATAAATTGTGTTTTAGATTCATTGTTGATAGCGTTGCCATATCATTATTTGCCATTAGTATTGACTGCGACCTTAGGAAAGTTTGATTGTCTATTATGTGTGATTTGTGTCTCTACATTGCTTGTGGTCGTTGTGTGGTTGCATTTTGTGTTTTGTGAATTTTTTGGTGAAATAACAATACATTTAGAGTTGGGTATTTTTAATGGCAAAAGTGTTTTTCGATTTGAAAACAAAAGATGAAAGTCATTTTTGTTCAACAAAAAGGTTTTTAAAGCTATTGACGATAAATGTAGGTCTCAGTCGGGAAGGGAAGGTAAGAGATGTTATAACTACGGTAAATCTTAATATTTTATAAGAGACTATCCTAAAAAGAATAATAAGCAAAAACAAAAGTGAGGGGCAAGATGAACGTGCTACTGGATCTAATTATAATTCGAGTGAGGTTTAATGATGATAAACTCTCTTGTTATTATTGATGTTTTTGCACCTATGTGTGAAGTCTCATTTACATAGATTTAAGATCGATCATGTTACTGTGTGTAACGTGTTGCATGCATGGTGGTTGGATTGGTGTTGTGAGGTTTGACAATGCGTGTATTCTCACTTTAGTTATTAGTAGGTGCATTAGTAGTAATTGGGCTAACTGAAAATACTGAGAATAGATGCTTGATGGTGCATTGGTGACATGTACGGGGGATGTGGAAGAATGGCATTTAGATCACTTTGAGAAAGTGACACTCCCATCACTTCTGTTAAGGTGGAAGACCCATTATCTATCTAGTTTAGATAAGAGATGGTAAGGAGTGATAGAGGAACATTCAATTGACTCGGGATCTTTAGTGAATTACCAATTAGGCGTGAAGAGTGAGCAATCTAGTGAGCATTGTTCACAATGAGAGGAGAGATGTGTTTTCAATATACGAGTTACATAGAATGGGGTAGGTTAATTGTGGTAAGATCTTTTCTTAGGAATCATTTATGTAGTTGCATATGTTGACTATTTATGTGATTAATTTTGTGTTAAATTTTGTTCTTTTATGTATTGAACACGATCAAATGATTTATTTATATTACCTTATGGTGTGCTTTCATCGCATGTGTTGTGTTGTTTTGTCTGAAGTTATAACATGTGTTGTTTTTATTTTTTATTTTTTGAAGTTATATTACTTGTTAGTTAATTTTTACTGTATTGGGATTTGACCTTAGCCCTTGATGAGTACACTTAGCAGGTATGGTATATGTTTCGGGTATGAAACAATGGTAAGATCTATGACTTCCAATTTATTTTGGATATGTTGATTAGACAAGTATAAACTTGGTGTTTTTTTGCTTGCAAGTTTGTTAGGTATCAAGATGGAGATTTACTGGGTTTTTGTTGATACCCAATAAATCTCATGACTATGATGTTTTAACGTTTTATGTTATATTCATGGGCTTCGGCCAAGTTTGAATTAACACCATAAAATGGGACTCAACACAAAAAACTCGACCTAAAACTTAACCGAGCAATTTGAAGGAGGAAATTACACTAAAGCAGGTATTTAAGTATCACATTTCAAAAATCAGATATGAAGTATATTTAATCAAAAATCAGGTAACAATTTAATATTTTAATATTAATAATTATATTACAAATTCAACACATAATTTCAAACCCTAAATCATTTTAATCTATTCTCTCCCAAGCTGAAACCCTGAAGTCGAAATGAATCTCCTCTCTCCCTCCCGCTCCCTCTCCCTCTCATCAACGAGATTCGTGAGTGGCGGCGCTGCGCGCAACAATTGGAGCAATGGCGTTGTTCACGCTACTCGACAACTGTAGCGGTGGCGATGTGGGTACGGTTTTGGGGATGGCAATGGCGTGGATGTGGTGTTTCTTCTTTCTGGTATGTCTTAAATGACTCTGCGTTCCAGTCGTCGCCACTGCGATGACACCGTGCTCATAGATCTGTGCGCTATAGTCGTCACTGCAGCCACGGTGACTTCGTTTTTCTTTCCTCCGATTTGTTGTGGCCTTCTTTAGGTGTTGGCGGTGAGGTGCTGGTGGTGAAAACCTAGAGTTTTTGGGTATAGTTGGTGGTGGTTTGTTGGCGGTACTGGTGGGGTAGTGGTGGTTGACAACGGTGAAGATTGTGTTGCTGGTTGACGACGGTGGTCTGCGGTCAAGGAGGTGGAAGTGGTTGTGGTGTTGAGGCGGTAGTGGTTGTTTAGTGGTGCAGGTTGTTGGTAGGTTGCAAAATGGTGGTGGTGGTGGTTCATTTCTGTGG